TCTTTCCCCTCCCTCTCCCTTTTCCTCCCCCTTCCTCCTCCCTTCTCCCCACTCCTACCCTCCTCAGATTGTGCTACTTGGAAAGATTAAGTGACATTAACATGTAATACGTTTTAACACAGTTGATACTAGTTTTGATTCATCTATAGCTCAAAATAATACACACTGTTAGGTGCGTATGTAATAAACTGGCAGGAAGTACCAGCCAGATTCTCCCTAAGATCAAATGTAAGCCAAGTATTTTTAACTCGTTAACTAGTCATCTTTTCCCCATAAAGCAGGAAGAGGAGGCCAAACTATGTAAGAAGTAAGCAGCAAGTGTCAGTGTGTATTTAGCTTTTGGTGTGATCTCTGTATGTCACCTCATTTAATTTGCACAGGGGCTCTTGTGGTATATTAGAGCAGAGAGGTGCTTCCTCTGTCATGTCCCATTTTGTGTCCTTGGCTTGAAGGGATGAATCATCGTCTCCAGAGGCTGTAGCCTCCAACTCTTTCTATGCAGTTAAAGTGTAAAGTGTAGAAAAGGGTTAGTACCTTGCTGCATGCCAAAGAAAGTTTTCTGTTAATTGGCCACCCTTCCCAGTGTGTCACTTACTAATAATGATGAGAATAATAACTGTCATATACTAGAGAAGGCTCTGTACCAAGAATCCTACTTGATCATTTTTAAACCTAGTCATTCTTAGCAAGCTTAGGAGACAGTTGTATTTTCCTTCTTATACAGATGAGCTCCTAAGGCCACATTTCTAGTAAGTAGAAGAATGAAGATTCAAACCCAGACTGTGTGACTCTAATCTCTACCTTTCCTTTCCTAATTCTGAGCCAGTAATCTTCACTTGGCCTTCCTTGAGACCTCGGAGGCTCACAAAGGCAAATCTGAGGCTGGAGACCATTTATAGTTTTGATGTTTTGTTTTTGAGACAGGTTCTCACTATGTTGCAACCTTGGCTGGCCTGGAACTTGCTGTTAGACTAGACTGGCCTTGAATTCATAGAGAGCCTGTCCACATGCATCTGCCTCCCCAGTGCTAGGATTAAGCTCACGTGCCACCTTGAGCAGCCCATGTATAATTAACCAGTGAAGCTTTTATCTTTAAAGTTTTCTGTATGTCTTTAAATTCTGTAAATTTTTATCTGTTTAAAGACCTTTGTCAGAGAAATTGTGAGGAAACAGGTATTTTTAGTGGACTTCTGAGTTCTTTTCTGTTGTTAATGGACTATAGTATTGATCAGTTGATATTTTTCTCACCTGTTTTGTAGCTGTAAAATATTTTGGTTCACCAAGAGAGCAGTTTTTAGTATTTTGGTACACATATATTTTAATACTTTAAAAATATGACACATGATGATTTAAACTTGAGGTTGTTTCCATGTCATCCTTACACCTTATAAACTTGGGGACCAGGATGTGTTGTGCCACTCCGCATATGAGCTTTCTGGGACACAGAGAGCCCTCCTAGTGTCACGGATGTCACAGCCACTGAGTTTTCTGATTAGTGCTTCTGGCTCATTGTATTTTCTACGTGCTTGGAGCCTGATTTAGCAACGGTTATAGAGTCTGGAATCTGAGCACTTGTGATATTTTCCCCTTTTGATAACCTTAGAATTTTTTATTATTGTGCTGTGTAGGTGTGTCATGGTACATGTGAGGAAGTCAGAGAACAACCAGCAGGAGTTGGTTCTCCTACTGTGTGGGTTCTGAGGATGACACTCAGGTTGTCAGACTTGGCAGCAAGCACCTTTACCCACTAAGCCATCTTAAAGATCCTTTTTTTTTTTTCTTTCTGGTATAAAGGAAAGCACAAAAATCTCAGAAATGGAAGAATAAGCTACTAGCTAAACATAAATGTCTAATGCTTAAGTATTTTATGCTAAACATAAGAATACATTCCAACTGGGTTACGACTATAACTACAAAAAGAAAAAGGGGGAGGAGACAGGATGGGAGAGGAAGACCCCCACAGTGCTGAAAGGGAGTAGATGAAGTGTGCTTCAGCCCTGTGAGTCACAAGGAGAGGCCGGCCAGCTGCCTCCAAGTCCAGAGGCAGGAGGAAAGCTTGATGAATGTGCATCAAATACTTTTACTATTCTGAGTTTGGGCGTTTATTCTCTTGAGACATGGTCTTGCTAGATATTGAAGCAGGTCTTGAAGTCACTGTTTAGTTCAGTCTGCTCAACCTCATGTACTGCTTTAGCCTTCCCAATACAGGGGGAGGGATGAGGGGTTGGCATATCAGAAAACACTTATCACCAATGTCAGATGACAATTGACAGACTGAAAGAAAATATATGTAATCTGTAACAAAGACATGGAGTTTTTCCTAATTAAAAAATAAAAGGCAGAAATTCCAAGGGCCTGGTAGAAAATGGGGTAGGGTGGATTTACAGAAATACAATTTTTATTTGTTTGCTTACACCCAGTTAGAAAATTACAATGTAAACAACCCTGAGATTCTGTTTCTTAGCCATAATTAGCAAAACTTTTAAAATATGCTATCAATTGTTTCCTGTGGGTGAGGGGACGCTTCCTCACAGCGTGAGTGGACTTGAGACTGGCATACTGTGAAGAAACACGGGCAATGACTGAGTCTGACCTAGCAGGCCCTCTCCTTGGAGCTTAGGCTGGAAACATGTCCAGCCAACTGAGATGTGTGTCTGCGAGGGTCAGGGTACATGCATGCTTCCCAGACGCCAGGTCTCCAAGTGCTGATCTCTCAATAGTCACAGACATGCCTGCTTCATGGATAGGGTTTCTTCAAGAAGAGGAAGTATGGTGCCTTGAAGTTAACTCCAGAGCTTTGGCAGAGAAACTATGAGCCACGCCTACAGCATGTTATGATGCCAGAATGGCTTGAAATGGTCAGAAAAGAATGAGGACTTGTTAAAAGAACTCAGAGCAAGCACACAATCATTCCTAATTGCCAAGACCAACACCACCATTAAATTACCCTGTTGCATTTGTATAACAGGGCAATTTAATGGTGGTGTTGGGCTTTTATTCTTTATAACAGAGAAGTCTATGACTCTATACTCATATATTTTTAAAGGATGACTCTTCCTTACAGAATTCCAGTTAGTAAATGTGGCCAGAAAAAAAGAATGCTAGGAAAACTGTATTCATAACTATGTGATGTTTGCAAACAAGATCCATGCTAAAATTATGGGCAATGCTAAAAATTATTGGGCAAAAGTTTGTGAACGATTTTAAGAAAAAATAGGGTAATTGTATAGGCTCACAGCTGGAATTATGGAAGGCTTGACCTGGAGCTTGAGAGTGCTTCTTCAGAGTTGACGTGAGGATATGGCTTTCCTCATTTCCTCACTTGGAGCCCTTTTCACTTTTTGCTGTCTTCATTGCCTTGCTTCCTCTGAATAACATGTGGCTTCTGCCTCATCCAGCAGCTGCAGAAGAATGACACCTTCCCATATGTCCCTGGTTCCTAGGTCTCTAACAGGCTTTACCTGTCCTAGCCACTGTGTACTATGCACCCTCATCACCTCCCTCCAGTCTCTCATCCTGGGGAAGATGAGGCACGGAAAACCTTCAAGTATGCAATGCTTAGCGAGAACAAGTATTCAGTGACAACTTCAAAGCAAATAGACCATCATAGTGGGTACAGGGACCCTTGCTGTATAGAAGGGACATTGGAACAACTCCAGATACAGTGAGGGCAAGTAGAGATCTGGACAATCAAGTAACAGGGTAAATGTCAGTAGGGAAGGGTAAGTAGATGGGGCACTACTAAGGTAAAGGTAACAGTGTTCTTCCTGACAGTGGGCCAGGCTTATCAGAAATCCCCTGGAGATGAGGGAACAGGAGCTTGAGGAGAACCAGACATGAAGAGATAGTTCTTGCTAAACTGACTGAGCAGGGCTCGTCATTAAAACTGGATTTTCCAAGGCAGTATACAGAGGGACCTAACAGAAGATTCAAGAGATTGACTAAAGCTCAGCCAAGCAAACAGTCTTTGTCAGAGAAGAAGGGGCTGGGGCAATGACTTCGTAGGTGAAATGCTTGCTGTACAACCTGGGGACCTGCGTGCAGATTCCCAACGCACATAAAAAGCAAGGCATGATGGTATAAGCAAATCTACAGTCCGAGTGCTGGGGGAGACTGATACCAGGGCATCTCTGGAGCTCACTGGCCAGCCAGTGTATCCCAGTTGATGAGTACCAGGGTCTGTTGAGATGTCAGACACCTCTGGCGGGGACGCACACACTGGCTAAAAGCACTGGCTGCTCTTTCAGAAGTTGCAAGTTCAATTCTCAGCACCCACGTGATGAGTCGGAAACATCAGGACTCGGGTGGGATCCAGTACCCTCTTCTGGCTTCTGCAATCACTGTACGCATAGTACACAGATCTATGCACTCAGGAACACACACACACACATAAGAGTAAAATCAAGGCGTTGATTGGTTGGTTGGTTTTTTTCAGTTTTACAGACAGTGTTTCTCTGTGTAACCATGGCTGCCCTGGAACTCAAGGCTGGCCTTGAACTCACAGAGATCCAGCTGCCTCTGCCTCCCAGATGCTGCAATTAAAGGCATATGCTACCACTGCCCAGCATGAAATCAAGTTTTAAAGGAGTGGGGACAAAATAGTTCTGTTTAGGCTGACCTGTCACTTTACTTTGTATAACATTTTCTGTGGATCAGAGGAGAAATGAGGTCCCTGTTACAAGGCAATTGAAATTGTCTATAAAATGTCAAAGAAGGGTTTTTTTTTTATGAGAAGAAATTAAATATTCTGTTGCTGATAATTTCACCTTCCAGTTTAAAAATCAAAGTTTAGGTTAAGTAAGTTTCTACACCATGTTTCCCGACACAAAAGCCAGTGTTAAAACTGCCATAATTTTACATTTGGAACTAAGCGTTCATTTTTTTTTTTTATTCCAAAATAGAAATTTGGGGTTATCTATGACGTTCTGCATTGCATTTTGCATTTCATATTGTAACAGTTCGTTCCTAAAGGAATTACAGCACTGTTCTCTCTAATCCAGATTTAGGTCGTTCTCGAGAACTGCAGTATGTTTACGTGGATAACAACATCCAGCTGAAAGGCCTGCCATCATATCTCTACAACAAGGTCATTGGATGCAGTGGGTAAGGCTGGCTTCACGGCTTGGATTTCATCACTAGTCTTGATAAGTCTACTGAATTTTTTGTCTTTGACCTTAGTATGGTAAACCAAATATCTCTATGAACTAAGACTAGTAGGCAAACAATTTAGAGTAATGTCTGTTGAGTTCAGATAGTGTGATGTGCAGTGAGTGAGTGATTACTTTCTAGTCCGAAGAAAAGTGGGAGTGCATGTATTTTATCTTTTCTTTTTTGCTATAGAAATAGCACTACTCCTGTCTTTATCAACAAACTGGTGTATAGTTAAGTCTAGAGCAGGAAGATTTCATGTATGTCTACATTGTCACACATGCTGTTATAAACCCTAGAGAGTAGAGGAACTGGCATTAAGTTGAATGATTTTCTTCCTTGGAACATGATTGCAAAGACCATTTGCTATAGTATCTGCCTTTTATTAAGATTTTTGCCAATTGTGTATAGAATTCAGCAGCAGACATAGTCTCTTCTTACGACTCATGAGTCAAGCAACCAAGCAGATGTTTCAGTCAGAGCAACAATAATCCCCTTCTCACGGGCTTTCAGGAAGGCAGCCTCAGCCTCCCTTTAACAGGACGCCACAAGCACCTGAAATGAAGTGTTTCAAGTGGTGTGAGATGAAAGAAATGCCACACTCCCAGCTTACTTTCCCCACTTCAGCAGCCAAAGGAGCACCTTTGAGATGACGTAACCAACACGCCTGTCTCCTCTTCTCACTCCCAGCAAGCCTGACACTCCATGTAGCTCAGCGAGAAGATAGGCGGCAATACTGAGCATAGAGGACAGCTGTTTCTGTGTTGGCCTGGCTCCAGGGAATGGGTAGTAAGTGCCGATTGCTCCAGAGAGAGCCATCCGAGGAATTGTGCCTTTCCCTTAGGAAGAGGGCACATTTGTTCTCATGGGAGCCTTGATGATCTCAGCCCTCTAGGCTGATGAAATCCAAAACCTTCTTGAAGCAGGCACAATAGATTGTGTTACAGGTTTTAGCCGAGTGGCTTTTCTACAGCTGACACTGTCGCAGATGTGACACGGCAGAGTCAGATTCTGGTGAATTCTTAAAGGGTTTTCCTATAGCCTGATTCTTCACGTGGTGAGCACAATGATTAGTCATTAATACAGAAAGATGTAAGCAAGGTCCATTGCTGTCCCTCATGGGCTGCACCGAAAGGTCGGTTCAGCCCCTACCACAGTGGGTGAGAGCTGTTGTGTAGACATGGGTATTGCTACTGCCAGAACGTTCTGTTTGCACTGAATAAAGAAAGTTTTTCATGTTTGAATTTGTACCAGCAGCAATGATAGTGGATTTTAGGAGAATGCCAGACCTTTGAAGAAATAAATAGGAAAAAGACAAATGAAGTATTAGTTAATAGTCTGTGTTTTCTTCATATTGTTATGAGCTTCATAGGAATAGGACATATGTAATGCCTCGTTTTATAATATTAATGTTGGGATATGTGCAGTCCAGCTTACAGTCTGTTGGTTTAACACAAAACTTTGAGTGTTCTGGTCATTAGATTCCTAAGCCATTTATCCTTTGGAGGTCATTTAGCCTAATTTATGCCTGAAAAATGATACTTCTTTGTGTAGTTTTTAAATGGTAAAACATTCTCAGAATTCTAGGGGGTGCTGAAGAGAGGTTCTACTTTTTTCCTCTTTCTTCTACCTATAGAATAAAACAAGCCAAGACCCCCATTTCTAGTCAAGTCCTGGTACTTCCTGCCTTTCTGTAGGAGAGGAGAGGAAAGACACAGAGAAGGTCCTGATGGAAAGAAAGGTGTGTGTGCCTGTGAGGTCTAGCAAGAGAGATTGTTTGAACAGGAATTTAGGCTCTCTGTTCATTCGTTGTGCGTTTAGGGAGCAATTTCCCTGTTTGGTCACTGCAGAGCAAATACTGTGGTGAGCAAAGTGACTCAGTGTCAGCCTTCATGACCCTCATGTGGCTGGGGGTCAGGGAATAAATGTTATGGAAGGGACTTGTACAAGATGCTGTATGAACTGACACACAGGCTCTGTTCACTTGGTTCTTCACTCTCGCACATGTTGTTTCCAGCTGCCTTGTGGGCCCAGATACAAAAGCAGAACAGCTCTGCCCAGCTGACGCATCCCGCCAACCAGAGCACAAACAGAGTAGAATGACACAACCTTAGGGACCCGTAGAGCTTCACATAGGAATCTGATCTATAATACATGTATGTAGTACATGTATAAATGTACGTAGAAACACTGCCTTAGGTATTTTGTTGATGGTACTTTGCTTATGTTGTACCTACACATACATACACACACACACATACACACACACACACACACATACATACACGCACACACAAATAAGCCACAACTCTGGAGGAGGTTAGAGAATAGAGTATAAAATATACAAAAAGACAGAACTAAAAACAAAAAAATATTCACAGAGTTCAGGAGTCTCATGAAATTCACTCTGATAGTTACAGAAGTGTGAACAAAATTAGCCACTCCTCATTGTATGTTTATCTGTGGTTAGAATAGTGAGCACTAACAAGCACGTCAGCACGGTGTAGAAGTTACTAGAAAAACAAAGCCTTTACATGCCTATTCTGGCAGAAGTAACAATACAAGTAGTAAGTACCCTGAGAAAGCATGATTGACACCTACAGCACGAACTCACTGCAGTGGCCCAGCTCTGAGTCACACGTTAAATCCTGTTGATTACAAAGCTCAGCCATCCTCACAGGGGAAGGAGCTTCTCGAGAAGCCACGCCAGGAGGGAAGGGCCCTGGAGAGCCAAGTAGAGGCCAGCTGGTGACCACAGCGTCGTTGTGTTCATGCTCTTTGCCACCTTCACCAGTGCTGATTTCTCTGGGGTTGTCTGTGTCTTACCACAGGAGTAAAGGCCTTGAGTTCTTTCACGTCATGCCCCGAGGCAGGATTCTAGTCCACGTTAGGGTTGTAGAGGGTGGCAAGTGGTACATTGGAGTGTGCGAGAGCACTCCGTGGTAACAGTGGTTCACATGAGGTCGTTCTTTAGAGACCTGGTATGTGAGAAAAAGAAAACAGCGCCTGTACGTGGACATTTCCTGGATCTGGGAGCAGTCTCGTTAAGTGACCGAATACAGTCTCACGGTAATAGAATTTGTTCAACGGAGTTGAATCAGTGGACTCAAAATTTCTTAGCTAACAGACCAGTTTTAGGTTTTTTATTTCCAGTCAGCAGAAGCTGTTTATTAATATACCAGGAATAGACTTACTGAGCTATTTATTATTTATTTTGAATTAGCATACAAGAAATTATGGTTTCAAGCCCAATTTATTTTTGTCTGTCCTCTCCCCTTCATGCCCAGTAGCCCTTTTCTACTCTCACTTTACATGTGCTCCTCCACACCTCCTTTCCAAGTCCAGTAGTGTCCAGTTCGCTGTCTATACCCACATGGAGACACACACACACACACACACACACACACACACACAAACACGGAAAGCTAGGATCTACATGTGAGACAATGTGTAATAGCTATCTTTTTGAGTCTGGCTTCCTTAGGTTAATACAATTTCCAGATCCTCCATTTTCTGAAAATTTCATAATTTTCATTATCCATTTCTCTGTTGTTAGGATGTAGGCTGCCTTCTAGCTGTTTTGACTGGAACAGCAGTAAGCATGGATATGCATGTGTCTCTGGTAGGGTTTAGTCTTTGGGCTCTGTACCCTGGAGTGTTATAGCTGAGTCATGTGTCATTTCTGTTTAAGCTTTTGAGAACTCTTGGTACTTATTTGTATAATGGCTGTGCTGGTGTCACTCCCACTAGTAGTGAATAAAAACTCCTCTTTGCACACACCCTCATCAGCATTTGCTGTCATTTGTTTTCTTGATGGTGGACTGGGGTGAAATAGAATCTCAGTTTTAATTTGCATTTTGATGATGGCAAAGGATGTTATGTGCTTTTTAAAAGATTTACTGACCTGGGGGGGTGGATACACACACACACACACACACACACACACACACACACAATTGTCTGTTTGGTCATTATTTTTGAGACATGACCTTATAGCCCTGGCTGGATTCGACATGTAGCACAGGCTAGTATTGAGCTCATGAAGATCAGCTTGCTTCTACCTCTTGAGCTTAAAGGCGTGGACCACCACACCCAGCTAACCCATTTATTGGTTGGCAGTTCTGGGGGGGGGTGTTATATTTAATTTTTACAGTTCCTTATATATACCCTGGAAATTAACTCCCTGTTAAGTAAGCTAGCTGAGACTCTTACTCTGTAGGTCGTGTGTCCTACTGATAGCTTCCTTTATTCACACACCATTTTTAAGTTAGTGCTCCCTACACTCAAAACTATATTGAATATCCAAATGACACCTCCTTGAGGCAGGCCCAGAGTAGCTCAACCGCATCTGAGAAAAGTGTTACTTGAGCTGTCATCACTCAAGACAAAGTTTGCATTTTGACTCCAACAAAGTAAATTACTTGGTGAAACAAAATACCAGTGTTTCCCTTCAGCATTAGAAGGATATAACGAAACCTAGAGCTTCTGCAAGCTATGTGTTAATGTCTAGGATGCAGTTCAGAATTCTGTGGCATGTAAAGAGTGGAAGAATTTGGCCCATTCTCAACAACAAAAATGAAAAGATGGTTTCTGCTACAAAGGAGGGTAAGTCTGTAGCATGACTCCATGATGGCAGGTGGATGCTGTGGGCAGTTTCAGAAGGATGAAAGAATAGTGAATTGGATACCTTAGCAAGAGAACTTAAAACTTCATTTAAAAAATGTGTGTGTGTTTGTGCGCATGTGCATGTGTATGTGTGCACGTACACACACACAGATACACACACACAGATACACACACACACACACACACACACACACACACACACACACCGTGACTACTTAGGCTTCATGGCATCCATGTGGTCAGAAGACGACTCTGGTGTCAGTCCTCGCCTCCCACTGTGTTTGAAGCAAGTTGTCTTCTGCTGCTGTAGATGCCAGGCTGGCCGGCCC